TTTTTTTTTTGCCGAATTGGCTGTTGGTCTGATCAATCAGTTTTAAGACGGAGCATTAGCCAAACGTGTAAACCTGGCTTTGCCTGATCATGCTGTTGGCGATCTCTCTGATGAGATATTACGAACGGTGCTTTTTGAGAAGGATGCTGTGGGTAATCTCATACCAGTTCGCATACAGGTAATCTTCATACGATTTTCTCGTAATCATGTTATTCGTAGCGTCTATCACTTATTGCTTTTCGGTGACCTCGTTAACTGAAGTGATTGTTGATGGCGAAACTTTGACTACCGCTGATTTATGGTTGACGGATGGAAGAGCAGTGGTTGAAGTGGTTTTGATGAATATGCCTGACGGTAGAGACTGGTCAACTCCCACGAAGTAAGTCCTGTTTATAGATATGTCTTGAAATTTACTATCATCCCGAAGGAGCATAATTTATAGATTCTGTTGTTTCTTGTTGAATTCTAGATAAAGTGGGGTAATTTTTTTCTTCGTTGCCTTCCTTTCTCCAGTTATGGAACACTACCATTTAAGTGAGCTGACGTCAGTCATAGAGTATCTGGTGTGAGTGTAGCATCTATCATACGATATAGCAGTCTTGTCTTGCACTAGCTCTTTAAAGAAATTGTGTGATTTCGCCTTTCAAGTTATTCTTGGAAAATTGCATAAGGGCATAGTGTAACTTACATATGTGAGAAATATTTTTGCCTGTCATCTGGAAGATGCTTTGCTTATGACAAATACTTAGATGTTTTTTTGTAAAGATAATTTTCCCTTTTTTGTTCTATGCTTCATTTACCTTCAGTGGGTAATAACAGTTGGATTAGTTAGTCTTGGAACTTTTACCCACTTTGAATGAAAAAGGTCAATTCTATTTAAAAAGAAGGAGATCTGAGTCAGTCTATCGAGCTGTTGTTTCTAAAACTACAATGCATTTCGCCTAATATCTGGGCATCTGCGTGCTTAAGTAATCTTCAACTCGATCCGTTTCGCTCCTTCATCACTTCCGTTCATTTAAAATATTTTCTATATTGCTCACTTGGGGAGCCTGAAGTTTTGACAGTTTACGGTATGTCTCGAATAATCTCAAAAATTACAGCGTACCTTCGGTCTGGAATTCATGTTATGTGAGAAGTCGTAGAAATGTAAGGAAAAATTTACTTGCTGTTACTAGACAATTAAGGGATTTTGTTCAACAAACACAATATTGACAAAATGTACATACGCAGCAAGTTACGGCGAACGGATAAGTTCATATAAGTTCTAAAAAATCCATACGAACTTTCGAAGGCATAACCCAATAACCTTTATATAAGCTTTGGGAAATGAGCGAATTTCATATAACTTATTTCATCTGTCACTAACAGTGTTGTTGTAGTTGTGATGGTCCACCTGCAACACCGATTCTTCCTTCTTCTGCAAGTTTACCACCCACTGTCTGTGTTTTTGATGGCGATGTAGAAATAGTTCCGATGGATGTTAATCAAATCCCAACTGGTACTTTCTCTGCCAATGCCCTTTTTGCCGCAGGTCCTGCAGATATCAGTCTCCGTCAGGTCTCCCTTGTGAGTTTTCAATCTCTATTCATCATGTTATTCCTGCGAATTAGCGAGTGCACTGTTATCAAACGTGCTACAGGACCCAATGCCTGACTACATGTATGACAAACTTGCTGAAGAATGTCAGATGCCTGATGCGCAGCTAGATGGTCCTCCTCGCCCAGGTGCATTTTACGCTGCGTTGATCAACGATCGTTGGGAGCGTGTGCAGTGCGTGCGAGCTAGTAAAATAGGTAATTTTCTCACACCATACGAATATAACTTGCATTAATTTTTTCAATGAACTTTTTAGATAAAGCCGCGTTCTGCGTATATCTCATTGACGTAGGTGCCTTTCACTATGCAAGAGCGGATGTACTCAGAAGACTCAACATCAAGACACCATTCCGGAAAATGCTCATGTTTAAATGCAAAGTAGGTATTTTTTCCATTCCCTTTTAAATGCTCCTTATGTTAGATTAGAGACAAATTGTCAAATGAGTACAACAGTAATGTTTAGACGTCACTAGGTCAATTTTATGTAAAGCGTATTACTTATAAAAAAACCGAGAATGACCTGCATTAAGGAATCAGATAATATTCATAATTGCTTATTCCATCTGCAACTTTTAATCCCAGTCGAAAACTGAGTATCTCTCGTCAGAGTGACCTATGTTTGGCAAGAAGCAGGATTTGGTTTAGACCTACCTCGTAATTTGATATTTAAACTGTAAAAATTCACACATATGTTCATACGCATCAAGTTAATCGAAACTTTTCATTGACTCTATTCCTTCATCCATATTCAAGTTCACTCTGTATTTGATAGGTTGCTCACATCGTTCCCATCGGTGGTCAAGACGTGTGGAGTCGCGAGTCGCATGAAGCTGTACGCGAATTTTTCGAGGCGGGGATGGGCGATACTGTTATGGTACCGTTCCTTCTTACTTCATCTGAAAACTGATCAAGCGTGCTTTCATACTTAGTATGACTTGTTTGCCTCGTAATCGATTTGTATTAGTTTCATTCTCACTTTCGGAATTCATAATCAAATTCGGAAATTATATTCTTAATCAGTATTATGGTTTCCCCATCAAGTTTGACGATACACCTATTTCCAACGCTCTAGAGCGCAAAGTGCGAAGAATGAGGAAATCGATAAATCAATCTATTATTCCCTGAGTAGTTATCATATCTGCAATCAACACGCTGACAGACTCACTTTCCCGCATCATGAAAAAAAATACCAATATTCTCATGTGTGGTTGACATGTTTGTGAACAGCAAATTAGCGCATTCCAGTGCCCCAACTTCTAGCACTCTATAGCGAGAAGCGCGAGAAATCGTCAAATCGATAGAAACTCGGTTTCTTCTGGTAAAATCCTGTATTACCCACCCTTGCCAGAGTGTACATATACAAGCCTTTCAGAAGTATAAATGGTGTTTGGAACACGTATATATATATATATATATATATATACTGTTTGTCTCTAATGCATTTGTATTACAGACAAACAGTATGCTCTGTAAATATATTGCAAGAATAAAATGAACAAAAGCTGTCTCGGTTGTTGTGAGCTTGATGTTTAGGTCTCTCCCTTACCGAATAGCCATAGCCTGTGGAAACAAATGAACGCACCATCTGTTCCGCTAGTGACAGCTAGTATCTCCTGTTGTGGACGTGATCTCGCGGATTGGCTAATATCTCGTTGTTTGGCGCTACCGGAAACATCCTAATTTCTATTATTTATGAGAACATGACTTTTGCACTTGCCCATCTTATCCTGCTATTAATATAGCTTCTGTGCAGTTCTTCTTAATAAATGATGCTAGTCCTTAGGTAGTCTTTTCTACTTTCTTGTAGGGTATGAGTCATAATATGTTGGCATGTTTTTGTAGTTCTAGGCTTCCGCTTCTTTGCAAAGATTAAGTCTTGGTTTTATTGTATACACTGTCGCTCATCTTGTTCATAATTAAAGATTTTTTTGAAATAGAGCATAACATTCGTGCAACGCTTGTAACATATTATATGGGAGCTCACATTGATTCAACTTTCAGTTACGAGTGCACTTCTACATCTGTGATTTTTTCCTTGCTTGGTTGCGGTTTCTGTCACTCTAATTTATTTTTTGCTCACATATAGTGACGGTGTACTGCTTTATTCGGTTGCACAAATTGTAAATGTTCTATTTGATAATGTGCATTGAATAAAGATTTAATCTATTTATTCAAATAGCGAGACAAAGAGTACATCGCTCCTTACTGAATCTTTTTGATATTTAAAAAAAAGACAACAATCAAGCTTTTTAAAGATGCCGGAGTTTAAAAGTTATTCCAATTCTTTTTATTAGAAAAGGTACTTTCGCCATGCGTATGGCGCGTGCGGGAGTATTGCGCGCTGTGGTAGTGACCAGCATTGTATGGCTTCTACTAGATGTAGTGGTTCTATTTTACTATTTAGACACTGGAAGCATAACGTCAGGAAAACGGAGGTACGCTTTGCTGATTTTATTGGAGCGCGACGGCGATGCTTCCATGACTTATGAACATTTTGAGATAGAACATTTTAGCATGAATTGTTGACGAAGTATACCTAAATTGTTCAGGGTGGCCCTATTTCAAACTCATCTGTCATTATCACGTATTATGCACTCCCGTTTCTTATGTCCCTAGAAACATTCGGCCGAAGACGATAATATTTAAGAGAAACTTTCGCACTTTAAAATGAATTGTGATGATTGCATTTTATGCTTAAAGATAAGATAGCACATAATAGAAGCTCTATCGATCAAATCTATATTTGGTTCTATCACCCTAAAACTGGATGAGAGTCTCTGAAAAACTAACCCGACTGGTGTCTCTGCGAAGGCGTGCGATGTTATCGGTTTCTTTTATTTCGTCTTCGTTCCACCTGTTTTTGCTAGCGGTGTTGTGTTAGCTGCGGGAGTAAATTGCTTTGGTCCCTTTCTTTCAATGATCCCCATTATCATGGTTTACCTGAGACATACGCAGAGGTCAACTTTTATCTGAACAGGGGATAAAATAAAGCTTATTGAAGTCATGAAAATGTGATGTCTTCTCATAAAGTACATTTGGTGGTGACCGTCGTGAATAGTCAGCTTCGGCGCATAAATGCAAATAAATTTCAGTGCTGTACGAGGAGACCGCATAGAATTTTCAAAATCAACGCTTTCTGTTACGGGAGATGCGGAAGAAAAGGAGGTAATCAACGTTATAAAACGTCACACTTGTAAACGTGATTTCTAAGTTTAGGTGATTAATGTACCCCATGCCAAGCGACTTTTTGGAAACAAGACAACAATCGGTTCTCATGTCCAGCAGCAATTGGACATACTTTTAAGTAGTACGTTCTGATTTGTTGGCTACTTAACATGAATGAAAGTGAACACAGCTTTTTTTGCTTTTCCGTAAAATCACTCTTCTATATATAAAGAAACGAATAGTTGCTAGTCTTCGTGATTGTCTGTTTGGAGTCTACAAAAAATTAAAGAGTGTAGTTAGTTTTCTATAGAATGCCAAACATGTTTCGACAGAAATCGAAGGTTCAGTTATTCTCCTGTCTTCATTCAATTATGTTCTTGATATTTTTGTTAACGCATGTTGCAGTGAAATCATTCCAAAAGCCTGAACATGGTGAGCAAGGTGTTGCTGTAGCGGTGCCTGCAGAAAAGACGGCTGAAAAAGACAAGAGATTTCTGGAAAATCAGTTCAACGTTGTGAGTACTTTTGTATGTGGAACGTGGAATATGATCTACCAGGACTTTATTCAAAGAAATTTGCGCGAATTTTCAAGTAAGCCATAACATTTCAGATGGCTAGTGAAATGATTTCTGTGAACCGATCATTGCCTGATTACCGCTCTGCTGAGTATGTACCTTTAAACTATCTAATCACCTCTCTCTTAATAATGCATTTCCAGATGCCAAGCTCAAGTGTACCAAAAAGAAAACTTGCCTAAAACATCTATCATCATTGTCTTTCATAATGAAGCATGGACCACTCTTCTTCGCACTCTGCACTCCGTTATCAATCGGTATATGTTGATTTTTTCTAAATCTCTGAAACCTTCGCGCTTTTAGGGTTTCATTAAGTCCATTTCAAGTTAATGTACTGAGGTTTCTAGAATAT